CCAGATGTTGGGTGGATGGATACAGATGTTGGATGGGTCCAGATGTTTGGTGGATGGACCCAGATGTTGGATGGATGGATGGATACAGATGTTGGTTGGATGGATGGATACAGACGTTGGATGGATGAATGGATCCAGATGTTGGGTGGTAGGATACATTTGATGGATCCAGATGTTGGATAGATGGATACAGATGTTGGATGTATGGATGGATACAGATGTTGGTTGGATGGATGGATACAGATGTTTGGTGAATGGGTCCAGATGTTGGATGATAAAGATGTTGGTTGGATGAATCCAGATGGCTGAACTCCCCTCTCTCCGCAGACACGGCGTACGCCAAGAACAAAGACGACGGGAAATGGTTCAACTACGACGACAGCAGCGTGTCCCCGGCCAGCGAGGAGCAGATCGTGGTGAGAGACGCGTCCAGATGTGGACCAACATCTGGATTATCTTATACTGCTTAAAGCCTCAAACCAGCCCCAGATGTTGAGTTTCCAGCTGTTGAACACATGCTTCTACTTCTGTAACATCTGCTGGAACAGAGCTCATTTAGAGGAAACCAGAGCTGATTCTGGAGGAAAGAAGAATCATTTTAAAGCTTCAATTTGAGATATTCAGATTTTTTTAATTTTATTTGAATAATTTATCTGGTTTCCAAGTTAAATCTGTGGGATTTTTCAGCTTCTGGGGTACAAACTAAGGTCTTTCCATCATATTAGTTCCTCCCACATCCAAGTTGGCCATTTTGATTAGGTCATGTGACTAGGTTCAGCTCCTGTTTTCAGAGGATTCTTCATCAAACTGAGCAGTGAGACACTTTAAGCCTCATTTTGTCTGTTTTTGGTCTGAAATCAGAGTCAGGACTCTAGATTAAAAACCAGACTAAAATCAGCTCTTTTAGTGAAAATCAGAGCGGATTCTGGAGAAAAAAGGCAGAAATTTGAAGTTTAAATTCGAGCAATACTGATTTATTTTTATTTCTTTTGGTCACTTATCTGATTCCCAAATAAATAATTGGGATTATTTCGGTTTCTGGTTTAAAAACTGAGGTCTTTCCATCATTTTAGTGTAAAATCAGCTCCTGTTTTCAGAGGATTCTTCCTCAAACTGAGCAGTGAGACACTTTAAGCCTCATTTGTCGATTTTTTTGGTCAGGACTCTAGTTTGAAAACTAGAGTTAAATCGGCTCTTTTAGTGAAAAAAAACGCAGAAATTTGAAGTTTCATTTCGAGCAATACCGATTTATTTTTGTTTATTATCAGCAATTTATCTGATTCCCAAATATATTTGTGGGATTATTAACAGTTTGTGTTTGCTCTGCAGTCCAAAGCGGGATACGTGTTGTTCTACCAGCGCCAGGACACGGTGAAGGGCACCGGCTACTTCGCTCTGGACCGCGAGGAAGAGGAGGAAGAGGAGGGAGAGGAAGAGGAAGAGGAGGAGGAGGGGGAGGAGGAGAGGAAGAGCGACTCGCCGCCCGCCGTCGCCCATAGCGACGAGGAGGACCCGAACGAGAACCGGCGCCGAAAGAACGACAACGAGGAAGAGGAGGAGGAGGAGGAAGAGGAGGAAGAGGAAGAGGAAGAGGAGGTACTCAGCCGGGACGTTACCATGAAAACCAACTGAGCCAATCGGAGAGAAGGGATCTTTCCATCCAAAGCCATAAAAGGACACAGCATGGCGGCTGCTCGCCACGGGGGCGTGGTGCCCATCGGGGGGGCGTGGCCCTACGTGCACGTGTGTGTGCACGTACGTGTGTACGTGCACGTGCGTGTGCACGTGCGTGTGCGCGGGTGTGTGTGTGCGTGTGTGTGTGCTGCATCCGAGCGGCGTGCGCGGCTCCTTTTAGCGTCGTTACTTTGTGTAAATATTTTAAAAACACTGAATTCTGGGACTTTTCCAGCAACCGGCCCGTTTGCTCTTTGTTTTTTAAACGTCTGGGAGGGGGGGGGGG